AGAGAGAGAGAGAGAGAGAGAGAGAGAGAGAGAGAGAGAGAGAGAGATAGAGAAAGGGAGAGAGAGAAACAGCGAGTTATCTTTGTTTAGTGCATATCATAATATTTTCTGTTTAATCAAACAAAACAGTAATTTCGCTGCGTGTTTATGTGTGTGTGTGTGTGTGTGTGTGTGTGTATGTATGTATGTGTGCGTGCTCGCGTAAAATTTATCAAATGTCCTAAAAATATGTACGCAAAGAAATAAACAAAAAAAAAGAAGGTAATTTAGACTTTGGAAGAGGATTTTCGATTTTTATCATATATATATAGATAAATATACACACACATATGTAAATACATTTATTTTATAGATATTATTGATCTTAATTTCGATCGATCGATGATTGATGATATTGTTTTTATTTTTGAAATTTAAGAATAACAACAACAAAAATTATAATGCATATATAAACGTTGTTAATTTAAATTTAAATCAATGTAAGGAGAGAGAAAAAAGATAAAACTGTCGAGTATACATATATATATGTTTATAAATATATATATATACATAAAATTATACGCATATATATATATATACATTCATATATGAATAGATATATACAAGCATAGATATATATGCCAATTTAGTTTTTATTTTTTTGGAGCCATTTTAGTTAATAAGTTTCGTGAAAAAATCTGCGACTTTCTGCTTTTGGCAATAAAATGACAAAAGAAAGTTTATGTATGATATATTATCTCTATACTCATACATATTTATATAGATTTGTTTTTCTATTCAAAAAAAAAAAACAAATTATTTTTAACATTTTACTTCTTTAAATGTAACAAAGATAATGAGGGAAACACAATAAAAGAGCAAAAGAGACAGAGAGAGAGAGAGAGAGAGAGAGAGAGAGAGACAGAAACGGGTAGATAAGAAATATAAACACAAGAAAGAAGGATTACGAATAATAGTTAATAGCTTCCTTTTCTTCTATAGAACAAACTTATATCCCTACAACATAACACTCTTAATCCGGCGTGAATTACTTATTGAAGTTTTCAATTAAAATTTTATCTATATCCCTATAAGTTTGTACTAATCTCAAATTTTGTATTAATGTAAATATATTCTAAAAGAGCTCTCCTTTCGTTTGCTGAGGCGTGTAACAAAGACAACGTTAGTTCGTGAGAAAAATATAAAATTGTTGGCGGTGCCTAAAAGTTTATATACTTATATACACATCTTTCTACATATATATACACACAACTTGCAATTCAGAGGCTATATCTAGTTAAGTATGCGGACATATATAGATACAAAATTGGCATTGCATTCTTATCCACCACGTAAGACTTTATAAAACTTATGCATTAATCAATCGTTTCTGTCCGTCCGTCTGTCACTTGCTATTGGAAACATACACCTGCGCATTTTGGGATACATAGGTGTACGCGGGCTTATGCAAACCCAGTCAGTGGCCGTAACGAAATATCTTCGATTAAACCTCTTACGCTCATCATTACATTAAATGTGTTTTAATGAGCTTGTCATACGTCTACAACTAATAGCCCATTTCCTTAGTTGTCATGAGTAGTAGAATCGATTTAGGCGAATTTTTATGTCGGATCTTCTGTTGAAAATACAAGTTCAGTTATTTCATTTAGAAAACTTTAATCTGAACTTAACTTAGCTGCAATTCGCGAAAATTGTTGACTACTATCTAAATGCCTATATATTGCGTTGCAGTACTGAATAATGTAAAGCATTCCCGTAAGCGCATTATAAGCTTGGTGTGCAAGCGTAGCCTGTTGTGAAAACATAACTAGTTATGGGAGACTAACGTGATGGATGATTATTTTCTGTCCAAGCATCTCCTAATATATAAACTTCGTTAGCTATACAAGCAGGCTTGGTAATTTGCAATGCAAGCGTAAGCGGCCGTGCAAGCGCAACTTGTTGTTCAAGTGTAACTTGCTAAATGAGTGCCGTTTGCTGTACAAATGTTATTTGCTGTATGAAGGTAACTTCTAATACAAGCGTAACTCACTACTATGCAAGGCTAACTTGCCGTGTAGAGATAACTTGCTATGCAAGTGTTGCTATACGAACGTAACTTTTTATATAAGTTTGATATACAAGCCTAAGTTGGTTTATAAAGATAATTGGCTCTGTAAGGGAAACTTGCTGTGCAAATGTAACTTGCTGTACAGCCGTAATTGGTTGTGCAAGCGTAGCTCATCATGCAGGCCGTGACTTGCTATACTAGCATGACTTACTATGCAAACATAACTTGCTGTATAAGGGTAACTTACTGTGCAAGGATAACGTGCTTTACGAGCGTAACTTGCTATATAAGCTTGCTATACAAGCCTAACCTGCTGTACAAAGGTAATTTGCTTGGTGAAAAGGTAGCAAAGGTAGCATCCTATGATATCGCTACTTGCTTTATAACACAAGTCACCCCATCTACACATGAATATTCTACCCTAACAGTCTAATGAAATAAGTTATTGCATCCTTGACTGAAATAAGAATTTGGGGCTTGTATTTTTCCTTCAAGTAACGTTTTGAAAGGGAAATTTTAAATAATAGATAGACAGGAGAACATGGCTAAATTGATTCACCTGAATCACCAAGCATACTTATGAACGCACTTAATGAACACTCAAAGGCATATTTAGTACCGTTATTAACATAGAATAATCTCACTTTACTGGATGGATGTAAAAGTTTTAAAAAACTCTTATCTTGCTTATTGATTCTGATGAAAGTTTCTCTAGGTCATGTAAATTGATTCATATTTTCTTTATTGCTTATTGTAAGAAAATAATGGCTCTTGTTGAGATTACGCAATCAATTTTTGACGCTGAGACTGCGGGCATCAAAATTATTCTTTGACTGCAATATACAGCAACCTAATATTACCCTTAGAATAGAGTTAGTTTTCCATTTATTTTCTCGCTGCATTCGATTGTTTTGCAATTTTTGCGAATTTTTTTGCTTTCGTTTACTTTTCATGTTAAGCTTCT